ATTACTTTTCTAGTTGGACATCATCCAAAATGGCAGAGTTACCACCTGAACAACGTTATCTTCTTTGGTTGGTAACTGCTTTTACTCATTTGGTCACGGTTTTTTGTATCATTTGGTTTTTCATTGGTCATATTTGGTTCATTCAAGAATTAAAGAGTGAGGGTATATACTACAATCGCTGCACTATGTCAATGCGCATATTCACCATAATAATATTCGTAGTTCAGTATATTGTGGGTATTTGGATGATTTACTATCGTATACGGTATAGTCGACGAGTTTTACATCCATTTCAAAAGAAAATTCATCATCATCTCCAACAATCGTCTGAAAATGACAAATGTCTTGACGCAAAAGAAACAACAGAAAATCAGAAAAATGTTGGTGACAATGCTAATACTGGCCAATTATTGATTTATATTTGATTCAAAAATTTTAAAATTACTTTTGCTGCAAAGACTTTTCACTCTATAAAAACTAGAGGCCTGCAGGTTAAGCAATTTTGACAACCTGTAACCTGCCCTTTTCAGATTTCGGCAACCTGCAACCTGCCCTGCCCTGCGAATTTTTTTGCGTACCCTGCCCTGCCCTGCCCTGTAAAAATTTTCGTAACCTTTAACCTGCCCTGCTTGCCGTTAGATAAATCTAAACTTTCTTATCAAATCTTTATACAATTTTATTTTATTTATTTCAAACCATAAAATAAAAAAAACAATATTACATATCTCGAAAATTTCGAATCATTAACATATCGTCTACAACATCTGGATTTAATGATTGTCTTCGTTTTTCTAAAATCCGACTAGATGAACTAAAAACACGTTCTGATGTTGCTGAACTTGCAGGAACTCCAAATAATGATTTTGCTAATACAGCAAGTTGTGGAAATATTAGAGAGTGTTTGCTCCACCATTTTAATAATGTATCATCTTTTGTAAATGGAATTTTCGTGTTAAGATAACGTTCAACTTCATCAGATTCATCATCCGAGCTGCCCTCTACAGCTCCCGCAAATTCTCCCATAACATCACTTTCCATTATCAAATTGTTTTTCTTTCTTTTTGGTGGTTTACTGGTGATTCTAGAGTTCGTTTTAGATAATAAAGATGAGTGTTCTTCACGAATACCAAGTGTTCCCATTATTTTTCTAACATCACCATAAATTTCATTTCGAAGACCGTCATCTAATGTCTAAAATAAAATTTCAAAGACATAAGAGTGATGTACTGCTAAAAACAAATCAGGTTACTTGAAGCTTTTTCGTTGCAGCATATAAAAAAGTAGCTATATAATGTAATGATGTCAAATAAACTTTATCATCCAGCATCCTTGAAACAGTATTTTTAAATTGAGCTAATAATAAATGATCATCATCATTAGGTATACAAGAATTTTTTAATTTCCAAAACCAAGGAACAACTAGATGTAACGTTGGTGAAGCATCAGAAGACAATTGTTCACTTGCTAGTTTAAATAATGATAAGAATTTCACTAAATCCACAACTAATTTTCGATTAATATCGTTCAAATAATACATTTCATTTCGTTCCAACAAAAGATCTTCACATTTATTGAAGTTCAAGGATATTGACTCGAACATATCATGAATCGAGTTCCAACGAGTTCCAACATTCACCTTGAGACTGGTTGGTAATAATGTATTCATTTCACATCGTTTAAAGTGAGCATACAAAGCTTGACATGATTTGATCAATAATTCTATGTTCGGACATAGATTAACACCATTATGTAATGCTAAGTTCAAGCAATGACAAATGCATCTAAGATGCACTTCTCCTTCTAAACAGAAAAAAATACCGCTCAAAATGAAGTCGTATGTATAAGACACTTACGCAAACCACAAACAAGATTAGAACCATTGTCCGTAATATAAACTATATGATATTTTTCTGAATTAATATCGTAACTTGATAAAGTCGAGAAGATTTTTTTCTTTGTATTATCACCTGTTTTTGATTGATCAAATAAGGACGTTCGTAACATATAGGTAATATTTTGTTCATTTCTGCAATAGTGAATATAAATTGTTAAATAACTCTCACTTGTACCACTATTTTTCCAATAATCAGTTGATATACCTATTAATTTCACATCTTGCAAATCATTCTTCAGAATATTTTTTAATTTGTGTCGATATTCTTCAGATATTTGAGAAATAGTACGAGAGATATTAGTTGGATCAGGTAATAATGAAGTCGATGTAGGTGCACCAAGTTTAGCAACACCATATTGATAACCAAGATCAATTAGAGATTGACATAAAGATGTAAAACCAGAACCTTTTACAATATTGAAAGATCTCAAATCAAATGAACAAAATTTTGCACAAGCGATTGTGATTGCTCGTTTATCATTAATTGATACACTAACTTCATTAGATGTATTTAAATACTTATCAATAGATTTATTGTTCTTTAATTGATTTGATTTATCAAGACAATTTTTAACATGATAACTAATAGTAGAAGTTCCATTAGAAATTGAATATGATAAAATCTCACTGCATAATTGACACTGAACAAATGGTTGGTATTCATTACTGGAGGATTTAATACGTGATAAATGTTGCCAAAATGAACCATGTGATGACAATGGAGGTTCTGCTTTAGCAATAAATTCACCATTTTTCAAATTGTCCATCACCCCCTTTTTTTTCGTTCCACATCTTTTTTTGAATCTGACATGAACGATACGTCAAAAGCAGAAAAGTCCGGATGATATTAATTACGATAATAAAAATAATGTATAATAATATTAATAATGTTAATAAAAAGAAATGATAATGTTAATAATGATCATAAAAAGATTAATCATGGTTTTAATAGTAACATTTAAAAGATAAATTCACAATGTTGATAATGGCTCATAAACAAGTAATTGATAATGTTAACGGTGAAAATAGAAAAAAATAGGATAAAATTTAAATTTAGAAGACAAAATGTACACTCAATAGCTATACATATAAAGAATGAACTAGCGTCACTTCCATTTCTATTGGATTATCTATGCGACCAATCCAAGTTAGTTTTCGGTTTGCTTCTATTCTTTTTCTTTCTGTATGATTTTATAAAAGATGTCAATAATATTTAATGTGCAAAATTTGTCACAGGTTGACAGGTTGGGATATTCGTACCCTGCAACCTGCCCTGTAAAAATTTTCGTAACCTGGCCCTGCCCTGCCCTGACCGGGCAGGGCAGGGCAGGTTACCTGCAACCTGCAGGGCTCTAATAAAAACTATACAAATAATCAAAACAAGGTGGTTTTTCTTATTCAAATAAATTTTGAAACTTTTCCACATACTAACTACAGTTGTCTCGAAAAAAGCTGCAAATAAGAAAATCTTTTCTAGTAGAGAAGAACAATGCAATGTAACTTGTTTTTCATCTATAGAAAAAAAGCATAGTTTAACTATTCATCAAATGAATATCATATTAACAAATGTTCACATTTCATTACTCTACGATCATTACATATGGTTCTATTGAAAGAAGTCAATCTTTTCCCCTAAAATATAAGTATGTCATTCATGATAACATTAGACATTATATAACTGTATGTAGCATGTCTAAGAGAAAAACCAGTTGTAACATGTTGATTCCTCTTTTCTTCTTCAGATCGATCATAGAAAAATGTGAACATTCTTCATAGTAATTTGTTTTCATACATGGAAGAGAATTGAAATAAATATATTTTTTCTAATTGTCATATTTGTTTTTCATAATAAGTCAGTATTGTTGTAGAACAGTATCTTAGATATACTTTATATGTACATCATTTCCTCTTATCGAACACGATAATTGTGTGTAACAATTTTGTGTAATCACTCTTATGACAATCAGTGATGCATGTCGTTTTTCTAAATTATACAAGGTGACTATATGTATATCACAAAGAAAATTAAATTTAGATAGAGTTGACATCAGAAGATGATGTTGGAAACTATTTTTATGAACAAACAAATCAATATACTGATTTTTTGCGTATTAAACTGTGAGAGAATACAGCTATCATTCTATCATAGTAAACACAAAAGCTTAAAATTCCTGCTTTTTTTGTTTGAAACAAAATTCAATGAAATTTAACGGAATTTCTTTATACTACACATACCATCTATGAGCACATTCAATTTGAAGGCGAAAAAATATCAATAACAAGTAGCACCCAAATAAATATAAGCTTAAAGTCCCTTATTTTTATAGATCGACAAAATACTTCTACTATGGTGAATTCTAGAGACAAATTTTATACCCAGTTGACCACTGATGATGAGCGCCAATCACTTTATAAGAAAACTTCGTCCGAGGAATTGTCTCCATTCATGTTTACTATTAAATACCATCAAATTATCAATAGTCTCTTGTAGTAGTTCTTATGTCATTTAATTTCCTACATTATCTGCCTTAGTGTCAAATTAAGTAACCATAAGTGAATCTGAAGTATTGTTTTTTTTTATATCAGCTCAAACTATCTCTGTCCACAACGTCACATATTGTTTCTGTATGAGTAGTTCGCTACGTACGTTAAATTATTTGATCGATATTGAGTTTTAAACGAATCAAATGAGAAAAAAAAGTCTATTCACTTTTTTAATTCGTTAGAACAGCCTGGTAGTTTTCAACGCTCGTCCTCGCATTCAATTATTCAAAGGACACATCGCAACTATTCATCACGATTTCTTTCCAGAACATGTTTAGTATCAATTTTATAATTTCCTTTAAATTCAATTACCAGAGCATCTCCCTGATATGAAGCAGAGAACAAAAATGAACCAAACCCGAACCGGTAAAGTTCCATTCAATTCAGTCTTCGATAATAGGGTGGGGTGGGTGGGTGTGGGTGTAGATGTGGGTGTGGGTGTGGGTGCGGGTGTGGGTATGGGTGTGGGTGTAGGTGTGGGTGTGGGTGCGGGTGCGGGTGTGGGTGTGGGTGCGGGTGTAGGTGTAGGTGATCTGCTTTCAACCCCACACCCATGCCCACACCCGCAAAAAAACAATGATGAAAAATGTCGATAACATTCTTTATGGATATTCCAACAAATGAAGACAGAGGATTATCAAACATCTCTTTTATAACACAAGAAAGAGAGAAATTGAATTATAGGACAGAATTTCTTATTCAAATAATATCATCTTATCTATAAAACAAAAATCATACTATTGATATTTGAGAGATCTTTTTCTTTGTCATTAATCCACACAAGTAACGCTCGTCTGCAGACTCGCTCAGCTCTTTTTCGCAGAAGGACTGTTTTTAGATGTTAGTTTTTTAATACATTATTGCGTATATAAGTTTATTTCTAATCTAAATTAGATACTTTTACATGAACAACAGCAGGTATTTATACGAAATGTTGGATAGAGAATTAGATATTTCAAATAAATGTCAATACAGATGGGAAGAGGGTGTGGGTGTGGGTGTGGGTGGATGGGTGTGGTTGTGGGTGGGTGGGTGTGGGTGTGGGTGGGTGGGTGTGGGGTATGGGTGTGTGGGTGTGGGTGTGAATTGAAGAGGAGAACAACACCCACACCCACACCCACACCCACACCCAAATATTTATCGGAAAGATTTCATTTTTAGTGGAATAACAGAAAAATAACTCAAAATGTATAATTTAATAGCGCGCTGTTGAATAGCCGAGGAACGTTCGAAACCATAAGTCGTAGATACCATGTAAAAGTGGTTGACGTAAATTTATCTGATCGCACTTCTCAATCATTTCTGTCAAATCACTTTTAATAGTTTCATCTAGATGTAGAAAGGTCTAATTTATGAGTTTTTCTCAATTCTAGTTACTACTACATTCTATCGAAGGAATTTCCATACTTGAGTTTTTTGTTTAGAGGAAGAAGAAGAAGAAGAATTGTAGTTATCTCTAGAAATCTTGTTTGATTGATGACATCATCAAGTTTAGAACGTATATAATAGAAGATCATTCATTTTGTTTTACTTTTTTAGAAGTGATAAAGCACACATACGATCTTTTCTTCTCGAAAGTCAGACAAATATGTAAGCAAGATGGTGGATCGAAAGAGATATTCTACATAACCGCTAGTCCGCACCATTAAGGAACGCAAATCGTTTGTCAAAGTTTTCTTAGGAAGAAAAAAAGGCTCTTTATTTTTGTTAGTGTTCGAGAAAGAAAAAAAAATACATACCCAAACGGAGATTTAGTTCCGTAATCGTTTGTTAACTACGAACAACAATGATTTGTATCCCATCCAATACGCATCGAAGAAGGAAAATTAGATTAAGATCACATCGAGTAAGTCGTGTTTAAAAAAAGGAAAAATACCTTTCTGGAGCCAAAGAAAAAACCAGTATACGATGTTAATACAGTAGAAAATATATGAGACGAATACATTTAAATGAATATGATTTCGAAACTTCGCGAAGCTCAGAGATTTGGACTGGAACGTCAAAAACAAAAATGGCTAATTTTCGCTCTGGAGAATTCGATGAAGTGTATAGTTCTGTTTCTTTGATGTTAATTCAACTTCAAAAAATATACGATATAAGATAGTAAACACGCATTGCTTACTATTCGATGAATGGGAGACGAATAAAAATGTGTGTATTTCAATTCTATCAAAACTTTGATCAATTCACGAACGTTTCTTGTTCTATACTTTTGAACTGATATATTATCGTGTATGCGTATGCACAATTTCGTCCACTTTATACATGACATTCTGTCGCCACGTTCTCAACCTTACCATATTGCTTGTCTATATATTAAAACATTTGAATATTTTGCAAGTCATTCAGTTAGAACAAAATTGTTCGATAATTCTTTGTTCAGAAATTTATTTTCACGCGATCTTTTGGAGACACTAAACACAGATCGACAGTGAGAAAAAATCAATAAGTAATAGAAAAACGAACGTTTTGGTGGGAAGATTTTTTGAGACACTATGATATCCGCACAAGCAGACATATAAACAAAAAAAATGACGTTTTGTGTTTAGATGTGTCAGTAGTTAAACTATTTGTGCTAAAATTAATGCGTAATTATCACGTGACCGAGATCAGTCCCGTTTTCCACGATTGTTTTCCTTTTTTCACGCTGAAGAAAGCATGAAGAAGCCTCAATACTGTTATTTTTTTAGAGAAAAATAAAGATTTTGTAAAGACAATTAACAAATCACTTTTTATTTTTTGATCCAAAACGATCTTCGAAACGGTTTGATGATTTTTTCATTTTTGTTTTTGTAAATTCTGTCGATTCATGCTTCGAAAAAAAGAATTCGAATTTATCTAGTTGAGATAAATTTCTTTATATAAGTTTTTCCCATTATTTTCCATTGAGTAATGTACTAGAATCAATTGATTTTAGATGTATGAGTGATGATATGAGGGAAAGAAATGCTTCGATCAATTGAATATCAAGAAAACAGTTTTCGATAACAAATGAATTTTTGTCGAATTAGATAATACAAATGTCTGATCTTTTACATTAACTTTCAATCCATGTTTCAATATTACTGTTTTCAATAAAGACATAGATTGAAGTAGAGTATATAAATTGTTTAATGTTATATCTATGTTTATTGTAAAATATTGCATTGAATAATATCATTGGCCATACTAATATGTTCCAAAACTGATTTTGTTTAAGTTTTTGAAGTTTGCTTTGTAAAAAAAATTGATGTGAGCAGTTTTCGAGTTATTTTATTGAATATATAGTCGTAACTTTGAACAATCAATTGAATTGATATTGATTTGTTTTAAAATCGATTTCAAATAAGAGTTATGGATGTTGAATAATTTTAATTACTAAAGTCGAATAAATTGCTTAATGTCAACAATCGAAAGAAATAGTTCAACATGATTTGATACTGTATTATTATCAAACAGTGTAAGAAGTGGACCGTCATTTTATAAGGAAAAAAAAGAAACATGAGTTTTCACTACAGAAGCATAGAAAGAAACAGCGTATTTATGTATTTCTTGATACTCCTTAGTACTCCTCCGTATTCCTTGTACTTCTCTGGTTAGCAGCACGATGTTTCTCCCTTGTGAAACATGTATCTTTAATCGGACCATTGGTCGCATCCTGCTGTTTCTTCTCAAATTACGATGACATGTTTTGTCAAGATATTGGCTCGCTCATGACATTGTGAGATTGGGCACGAGCTATTGGATAAAATACAGTCGAACAAATTCAAAAAGGGATATTTTTCATTGTACCGTCAATGTCAAAAGATGATGACTGTCTCATCTCTGTCCTACACAAACCGAAGCATGTGTCTGTTTTCTTTTGATTCAATAGGACTGTTAAGACTCGTTCGTTACCATTTGTTTTTTTTCATTCGTTTAGCACACCCACTCTTTTTTGCACTGGCAGTTCGTTTTGCTTTCAAGTATAGGAATATACAGACGATGAATAATACACTGCTAGCTTGTATTTATTGTGTCGAAAAAATCGATTCGCTTTGCGTTTCATTCAAGTTTGGAACTGTGTCAAGTAATGTATTGTAAATTGAATGAGTGTAAAGACAGAACAACCATTCGGTAATTTAAATGCAACTGGTAATCTCCAAGTGTTGTGACATACACTACAATCTGGTGCGATGTTTTATTCGATGATTTCGATGGACATATCGTATTAATTCAATTCTATAGATTGTTCATTCATTTCCTACCTTAGTCTTTTTATTTAATTTTTGTACTAGTATATTATTTTTCTAACAGAGAATCCATATAATAATTCGCACTGAATAACTAAGTTCTACAAATGACTGTATCTTTAATAATCTTCTATTATATGATGTGACAGTAAAAAAGACCGAAAGTATTCTAGATGATTTTAACAATGTTTATTCTACGATTGTACTCAGATATAAACCTGTTTTCTGATGTAGGGTTGAAGACATTTAACAATGGTCGATTTAATCTCGATACGATCATGGGAATTGATTATATGATGTGATGGATTGCTCGTCACATAGCTAATATTCTCATGTGTCAGGCACCCTGTTGCGTATACAAGTACTTTCGATTGTGGCATCGAAGATTCAAAACGAAAAGAGCTGAAATTCTTTAAAATTTATTTCCTTGAATAAATTATTGATTTTATTCAAATAAAAACTGATATATCAATAAAAAGAATTCTAGTTTAATTGATGTCGAACAGAACAGTTTTTCGTGATATTCTATTGGGCGTCGACTTTAAATGTAGATGCGTACAAAAGTCTCTATTTCTTTTCGACAAACTGGACATGTTCGAAGTGAATGACCGCATGGAACACAAGTTGCCAAATGTCCACATGGAAGACATGCAAGATGTTTATCTTCTGTTAAACAAAGTATACACAAATTCGACGATGCTAAATCCGTTGTCGAACTAGCTTTTGTTTCAGTTTTTGTGTAATTGTCGATCATTGCAATTGTTGATTTTGATTCGATCGTGTTATTAGTATTCGATGAATTTGATAAAAATGGTTCGTTCGATGTTGGCGTGAACGATGATGAACCTATTTATTTACGAACAAGTAATAATATGATCATATAAATAACCGACAACATACTGAATTGTTCTGTCTCACGAATCATTTTCATCTTGATACTCGGTACAAATAATGTTTTCTTGACGACCATTGATATGATCGATTTGTTTTTGAAGAATAATACAAGCAATTAATAAATCACAATCAGTAGCAAAATCATTTTCTAAAAACAAAAAGAAAAAAATAGAAGAATGTAAATTTAATTGAATCTAAGATTCGAACGTTTTAATCTTAGTTGATCCTCCCAACAACGTTTGATAACTGATAATTTGAAATTTCGATTGAGTAAACTTTGTGAAATAGGCAAATCGAGTCGAGCAGCAACAAATCGTGACAATGTGTTCTCATCAGGAATCATTAGTTGAGAATTTTTCATTCGATGATCATTGGAAAAATTTCCATTTCTCTCTATTTGATTTATTTCAACACGTTCTATAAAATAAATCAATACATTTTTTATTTTAACTTGTATCATTTCTTCAATAGAAAAACCAACAAACCTTGATGAATTCGTTTTGATTCTTGAATTTTTCGATATAGTTCATCATCACATAATTGTTTAACATAGGGACAAAGTGGAAACCAACGTACATGTTCAATCAATGGATTATCTTTTGAACCCCAATTTTGAAGTGATCCATTACAATAAAAACAGATAACAATTGTTTTTGAGCCAGTATAAAAAAATCCTGCTCGAACAAGATCATCTACAGAAGGTAAGTCTTCTTGAGGCCAAGAATTAAATGATGATTGACGTTTTGAAATTTCAACATAGGCTCGATGAAATGCTGATGCTTGAACTATTTCATTAAATCGCAATCGATTAGATTTTAATGTTCGATTATTCGAACTATCATTAATAATTGATGCAGTTGATATTTGACGAGTTTTTAAAATAAATAAAACATATGGACATAAAGATGAAAGAGTTTGATGTACTTCCTCTGGATCATCAGTATGTGGTGTCCATTGTTGACAAATTAAATTACAATATAAACAAATGACACGATCACCAAAATTACAATAAAAAAATCCAGCCGAAATCATTTGTGTTCGAGATAGTACTTTCTGATGAGACCAATGTGAAAATGTTCGACAGCGAACTTCTTTCATTATCTCTACTTGTATCAGACAATGATTGATCTTTTGATCGATTTTTTTATGTTGTGATAATTCAAAGTTTTGGTTCTCTATTATCGAACCATCTGAAGTAGAAAAGTTCATTCGATTCTTTGATACAATCGATTGAACGAATGAACAATTCGGACTTTGTTGAACATGAACAGTAAATGGATTCATGTGTGCTGTCCATTCAGATACTTCTAGACCACATGTGAGACAATGAGCAGTATCATCAATGCCGGTGTATGTGAAACCAGCCGCATTGATAAGAATGGATGAATGAACACCCTGCTTCTTCAACTGTTTATAAATATCAACTACACGACGACAGATTTCATTTTTCCAAGTAGAGCTTCATTTTTTCTTATCGGTACATTTTAACAAATCAATATCTTTTCTTGTTGATAGCATTGATAGCACTATAAACAATGGTTTACTTTTGAAGTGTTGGAGTGATTTCAATGAGCTGTTTCTTTCGCTTGTTTCTATCAGAAGAAAGTTGTTTATCTTAATGTTGATTGTATGTATAAATTAACCCACTTGGAAACGAGACTTGCATACAGATTGAGAAATTTCTCAATGATTCATTACAAATAATACTGGGAAAAATTGATATCAGAAAACGATTGGATATGTCGATTATTGCGTTATTCTAAATGCCACTACTCAATTTATATTTCAATTTTGATATTTCTGTCCTATATTCCATTACAGTGATATTAAAAAAAAACCTAGTTGCTACAAGAAAGTACTAAAATAACTAACTGACGATTATGGGAGACCTCTAATCATACTTTAGTGCCATCTACAGACTGTAAATCATCATTGGCCTCTTAATAATGCCAGGAAGGGTGTAGGTATCGATGTGAGTGTAGGTGTGAGAGTGGGTACGACTCTCTCTTGAGTAGCTACTCGCACTTACACCCACACCCTACGAACATATGAATAGCTATCTAATGAATACCACTTATCACTTCAGATTAGTCATGCAGCAAGTTTAATTCTGTTTGTTGACTTAAAATCTGTCCGAGTTGAGTATGCTTGAGATGGATAGATATTTATCTTGAAAAAATAGAAATAAAATTATTAGTTGATATAAGAGTGTGGGTATAAATAAGAAAAAGTAATACATCCACACCCTTCTTTTTATCTTTTTATTTATCATTTTCATTTTTTTCTCTTTTATCTTTCTTCTTGCTTTTGTTCTTCTTTCTTTCCTATTTCATGCTTCTTCCTTTTTTCTTCTTTTTGCAGCTTGTCTTTCATTATTCTTCTTGCCTATATTGTGAAAGTGTTATATTGTAGCCTACTGCCATATAGATGAAATTTTTACGCATGTTGTTCTAAGTTCTTACATGCTGTGATTTGAAACCATATTTCCATACATCTATGTAAACGCTTCCAAGCGTAACAATACATAGCCTATTCAAAAAAAATTCCTACGAACTATCGAGCATTTAATAAAATGTTCAACAGTAAGGATTCTTGACGATGTTAGACGTTAGGGAAGGGAGTAATGTGTTCCGATGTAATATTATTTGTAGCAAATCTAGTATTTTTTTTTGAGTTACTGGCATTCATCTCTACATTTTGATTCGATATGAATATTGACTTCTTATTAGTTACGAGAGGAACACTTGTACTATCATTATCATCATTCATGCAGACCAGATATGGACACAGTTCGATTCGCAGCTTGTCAAACCAATATCGGTTTCGGTTCGGTTTAAATTTTAGAAAACCCGAACCGTGTTCATATCGGATACAGGCTATCTTCGATGCCTAAATAGACCGTCGAACACCTTGTTAATAGAGAAAAACAGCACTTTCAAAATGTTTAACTTATTTAAGGTGTAACACCTGGTTAATGAATGCTGAAGGATCAATTGTATTAAAGCACACCCAATGTAAAATCGAGCAAAAGTGATTTTCCAACGAATTATACTTGTGCTTAGTTATTTCAGATTTGAGATTACAACTTGAATCAGCAATGCAATAATGAATCACCTTTAGAATTGCGTATTGTGAATTCACACAGCTATTTCATAGTATAAAGAAAAAGCTTACTCATTCGCCATGTATTCATTCTCATGACTGAAGTGGAAGATGAAAAGTCGAACATCTTACTCATACGTGAATACTCATGAATATTATTCATAGGTATTGCATCAGTCTTAATAGATAACGCTACATGATCCAATGATATTATTGACATAATATCAATGATGAATCCTAGAGAAAAAAAGCAACATCTCCAAGTTACCTTTCTCGTGATCAGAGAAGGCTTCACTCTAGCATGTTTGAGCAAAAATTTACGAGATCAACAGTACAGGACAGCTGAATTCGTATTGTTCAGTGTCACAATGCAGAACATGATCGAGTACATTGAATTGGCTCTCATGTATTCATCAGCAACAAATAAATTTTATTCAAAGTGTTGGTTCCATTGGAAACCTAGCGAACGAGATGATTTGTTCGATATTGTATTAAGACTCGCAGAGAAATCATTCATGTGATTGGCGCTTGAGTTAAGGCTCGACTTGATTAAAATGTCTAACAATGTAAGGAGCATCATTCAATATTTGAGAACCACTGCAAACAATAGTACTGATCACAGTTATGAGATTCAATATCCTACATAAAGTAACCAAAATTCTTACTCGCTTCGCTGTTGGACAGCGTTCGAGTAATCTCATTCTCTGAGAAACAATGATGTACAAAAGAACAATAAATTGAGAACAAGAGTAATGATAATTACACTAGCTTCACATAGATATTAATTGAATCAATACAAGTTCGTCCACAGTTGACTAATTTCATCAACGATAATGATGAGTAATCGATGCATCAACTAAAGAGGGGTCTACGAAAGATGCGCACGACGAAACTTGCGCACGAGCGTGTGGATAGGGTTTTGGAAATAAAACGGACCCATTCAACCTCACTCTCACACTCACCTACCCTCGCCCTCACTATCATCCACACCAGCACCCTTACCCTCACTTCGCACCCTCATCCGCACGCTCGTGCGCAAGTTAATTGCGCTATTATATTTTCATCCATTTAATGTGCCAGAATATTACTAATCGCTTATCTCACAAAATATACTTCGTCATTCAAAGTCTGAAATACATGCCTTCATCTATATATAAAAGAGTCCTCGTAGTTGCTCAAATATTTCATCTATTACAAACGAGTAAATTCGTGTCCTCGTAATCGAGATAAAGCAAAACGGCAATGCACTTGCCTCTTATTCATCGTCTCATCTTACTATTGATTATATCGGTCATATGTCAGGTAAGTTTGTATCATCGTCAAATATTTTAATGTTTGAATCATTTTTCTTTCAATATGATTAGGCTAGCACTACAATCGAATGCCATCGAGCAGGTCCCATTCGTAAGTGTGCGTCTAAGACCTGTGGTTTAATCGGGTATGTCAACTACGACTTCCGCTATCCATGTGACTGTTACATTATCGAGAAAGGCGCTGGTACAACTACAAAATGGTATCGCATCAACTTACCTAACGGAGCCCACGGTTACGTAGACAGCCAGTTTTGTGTGGGCCATGTCAAGTTGTGTTGATGTCGTCTGCTGAAATCGAAACTCTAATCATGCTACTTTTCAAACTTTTTTTGTGAAATATAAAATTATTTTAATAAATTGGAATTATTTGTTATAATACTTGTATATTTTGCCTGTCTATCATTTGTTGAGTTGTTTGACCTCTTTCATTCATATGCAAATAAGTTTCTTCATCGAATTAGAACTCGTGGGATGCACTCTTTTTTCGTAAATGACCTGGAATCCGTCGAACCTCATTTTAAAACTCGTAATGAAATTTTCTAATCGAAAATGAATAGTCGATCTGAAGGTATGAGATACCTTTCTCCGGTGAGTGGCACTCGATCATTAGCGCATCCAGCACATTCCACATGCGACTAGACCCATCAAGTATAAGAACATTAGACCTTGTTTGACACCCCCCCCCCTCATTTCCTTCCTCTTGTGTAATTAGATGCAAATTAATAGCTCAAATTTAATTTATTTCAATTTATTATTATTGTCACCTGTTTAATAATAAATTTAAAAGGAAGTAAAATATAATAAAAGTTAAAAATTAAATTAAAATTAAAAAGATAAAATAAAAATAAAACACAATAACGTCAATCAGAAAGAATGCCATAAAATAAGAAACAATAAAATGAAAATAAAAATAAATAACATAAAATAAAAAATTTATACTCACTGTTGACTGACTTCATGCCATAATAAAATCTAAAATAAAAAACAATTAAAAAGAAAATAATTTAATTCGAATAAAACTAAAGTAGAAGACCAGAAAGTAAAAATAAAGATTTATACTTATTTGGGATTGACTTCATGTCGTAATGGAAACTGAAATAAAATATGATCAAATAAAATAACAAACAATAAAATAAAGATAAGCAATTTATATTCACTGCTATGGTATACTGTCAGAAGAATTAAAAGACGTTTCTTTCGTGCTTTTATCAGCAAATGCACTTCTCACTAGTGATATCTATAAAATATCTTGAACCAACAAATAAATCCACAAGATTTTTACATAATGCACCTGACAACTGAAAAAGAAGCGAAATTACTATATGCTCGTTACTGGGTTCAACATACTTTTACCATTCTGTCAGCATTTCTTTAGTAAAAATTATAGAACGCAGCACAAGCGAAACATTTTTGGTCTAAAACATATGTTTACAGAAACTTGCCAGTAACGGAAAACGTCTCATTCAACTACAAATCAAATGTAGAAGTTCTTGACACTTAAATAATAAAACAGGGCCTTTTGGACCGAAATCATAAACTAAGTGCATTATCTACTAATAAAGTGTGAGTCATATAGGATCTTACAACATACTATTAATTAATTTCACCTTTCACCAAAATCTAAAAGAAAACAAAGTAAAAAAACAACAAAATGAAAATTAAGTTAAATTTAATTCAAATAAA